GTGGCGTCACAGCTCACAGCAACCTCCAGCTCTTGGGCTTAGGCAATTCTCTTGCCTCAGCCTACAGAGTAGCTACAGGTGCCCGCCACAATGCCCAGCTATTTTTTTTGTTGCAGTTTGGCTGGGGCTGGTGCCCTACTCACTGAGCCACAGGCGCCACCACCACCACCCCTTGGTTTTTTCTTTCTGCCAGGAGCTTTGGTATTTTTTCCTCTGTATTCTTTACTGTAAAATAAATCCTGTCTTACCACTGATCTGTGGTCTGTGGCTTCATTCTTCAAATCACTGAGACCAAGGACCTACTGAAGACAAAATTCCCGTATCGAAAGGACCCAGAGGGGAGATTTTTTATGACTTGGGTTTTTTCCTGTGCCAGGAGCTTTGGTGCTTTTTCTCTGGATTCTTTTTTTTTTTGTAGAGACAGAGTCTCACTTTATTGCCCTCCATAGAGTGCTGTGGTGTCACAGCTCACAGCAACCTCCAACTCCTGGGCTTAGCTGATTCTCTTGCCTCAGCCTCCCAAGTAGCTGGGACTACAGGCACCCACTACAATGCCCAGCTACTTTTTTGTTGCAGTTTGGCCGGACCGGGCTTGAATCCTACACCCTCGGTATATGGGGCCAGTGCCCCATCCACTGAGCCACAGGCGCCGCCCCTTTTCTCTGTATTCTTTTCTGTAAAATACATCCTGTCTTACCCTGATCCGTGGTCAGTGGATTCATTCTTTGAATCCCTGAGATCAAGGCCCTACTGAAGAATTCCGGTATTATCTGCATGCTTGCTTACTCTTACCAGAGTTGCTGTTTTTGCTGTTAGAGGGGTTAAAGAGTTAACCCTGAAGCCATAACATAGCTTGTCAACATTGAAAAAAAACAAACATATATAGATGTATATTAAAGTATAGTCACATAGAATCAACTATAGTACAGGCTTTCCTACACTAATAATTCTGTAGCTGCTCCCTGTTGCTATTATGGTGAGAGGTCAAAGACCAAAAGTAAGAGATTATTCCAAAACATGAAAGAAAGGAAATGGAGTCTGGTTCTGTGTGGGCAACAGCAGCCTTTATTCCCACGTGGGTGCGGGTAAACTGAGTTCTAGAATGAAGTCAGCACATGGGTTAAGTTGGATGGGGATTTTAAAAGTTTGGAAGGGTAGGGATTGGTACATTCCCTCTTTCCTTGGTGGGGCATTCTATGTGTTCTTTTCTTCCTGGGCAGGTCGGTTCTATTTGGCAGGTCCCTCCATTTGACTCTCTTAGTGAGCTCAAGTGTTGCTGCTTAACTGATGATCTTAATTTGAACAGTTCATCTCTTCCGTAAGTTTTGTTTCATGTAAAAAGTGATATCTTGAGGTGATCACATATTTCTCATGATTAGTTCAGTAAACTTTGGATAACACCATGTAACACTAGTGATACTAGAAGTATGCAAAAGAAATGTGGAGAAAAATCATGACATTAAAAGAAAATGTGAAATCCCATAATATGTACCCATGATGCCTGCAGATGGGACAGACAACATAAACTTTTGGTATTGATAAATGCAGTGCAGTACTGTAAATGTGTTTTCTATTCCTCATGATTTTTTTATTTTTTTTGAGACAGAGTCTCACTGTGTCACCCTCTAATAGAGTGTCACAGCTCACAGCAACCTCAAACTCTTGGGCTGAAGCAATTCTCTTGCCTCATCCTCCCAAGTAGCTGGGACTATAGGTGCTCGCCACAATACCTGGCTATCTTGTGGTTGTAGTTATCGTTGTTTGGCAGGCCAGGGCTGGATTTGAACCTACTAGTTCTGGTGTATGTGGCTGGCGCCCTATCCATGGAGCTACAGGAGCCAAGCCTATTCCTCATGATTTTTAAAATAATTTATATATTCTCAAGCTTACTTTATTATAAGAATATATACAACATACAAATTATGTTGTATAGCTATTGTGTTGTATAGCAAAGTGTGTTGATCAGCTATTTATGTTATTGGTAAGGCTTCTTTGGGGAGGTCAAAGTTGTATATGGATTTTTGAGTGCAAGGGGGTTACTACCCCAATCTCTATGTTGTTCAAGGGTCAACTGTGTTAATTTTTCCAATCCGTGAACATAGGATATATATTTGTTGTGCCTTTTCAACTTCTTTCATCATTGTTTTATAGTTTTCAATGTAGTGCTCTTTCACCTGCTTGGTGAGTTTATTCCTAGGTATCTTATTTATGTATTTATTTATTCATTTTTAGCAATTGTAAATGGAATTGTTTCTTCATTTCTTTTTAAGGTAGTTTGCTATTAGCATATCTCTTTCACTTCCATGCTAGTTCAGCTTCTTTCACTTGCTAGAAAATCCAACATTTAAAATGAGCAATTAAGGCTGGGCACCTGTTGCTCAATCAGCTAAGGCGCCAGCCACATACACCAGAGCTGGCAGGTTTGAATCCAGCCTGGGCCTGCCAAAAAACAATCACAACTACAAGCAAAAAATAGCTGGGCTTTGTGGCGGGCGCCTGTAGTCCCAACTAATTGGGAGGCTGAGGCAAGGGAATCACTTTAGTCCAGGAGTTGGAGGTTGCTGTGAGCTGTGATGATATGGCACTCTACCCAGGGCGACAGCTTGAGGCTCTGTCTCAAAAATTAATAAATAGAAAATAAATAGAAAATAAAATGAGCAATTAAAACAAAAAAATTGGGCGGCACCTGTAACTCAGTGGGTAGGGCGCCGGTCACCTACACCTAGGCTGGCAGTTTTTGAACCTGGCCGGGGCCAGCTAAAACAACAATGACAACTGCAACAACGACAAAAATAGCCAGGCGGGCTCAGCTCTTGTAGTGTTATGCTCAAGTCACAAGATCCCCCATAAATCACTCTGAGACCGAATCTGATGCAAAAAGCAAGAGCCTGTTGTTTATTAGAAAGCTCTGGCCTGGGCTTCCTGATCCTGGTGCAGCAGAAGAGCAGAGAAGCCCCAACCTTAAGCTGGAGGGAGGTTTTAAAGGGTACAGAAAGAAGGGAGGGGGAGGTCTCTGGGGGAGTTGATTGGGGCCTTGGGTGGTAGGGTAGTACTTGTCTTGAGCTGATTGGCCTGGGTGAAGGTTATGGCTCAGGGCAGATGTTGTGCAAGGGTGGGTCATGGGGTATACACGGGGGTAAGGGGGAAGTTTAACGATTCTGATTTGCAGCTGCAAGAGAAAAAAACAACTAGGCAGCAAAAATAAAATTTAACAAAATGTAGTTTGGCCTTCTAGGTCCTCACAGTAGCTCAGTGTGTAGACCAGCCACATACACTAGCACTGGTGGGTTCCAGCCCAGCCTTGGCCTGCCAAACAATAACTACAACCCAAAACTAGCTGGTGTTGTGGTGGGCACCTGTCGTCCCAGCTACTTGCAAGGCTGAGGGAAGAGAATCGCTTAAGCCTAATAGTTTGAGGTTGTTGTGAGCCGTGACTTTTTGGCACTCTACCCAGGGCGACAGTTTGAGACTCTGTCTCAAAAATAAATGAACACAGCGGCGGCTGTGGCTCAAAGGAGTAGGGCGCCAGCCCCATATACCGGAGGTGGTGGGCCCAGCCCCGCCCCCAAACTGCAAAAATAAATAAATAAATAAATAAACAAATATAAAACAAAAAGAATTAAAAAACAGTAAGACAAAATGAACAATTAAAACCAACAAGGCAGTGACTGTGGCTCAGTGAGTAGGGCCCTGGCCTCATATACCGAGGGTGGTGGGTTCGAACTCGGCCCCAGCCAAACTGCAACAAAAAAAATAGCCGGGCATTGTAGCAGGTGCCTGTAGTCCCAGTTACTCTGGAGGCTGAGGCACGAGAAATGCCTAAGCCCAAGAGCTGGAGGTTGCTGTGAGCAGTGACGACACAGCACTTTACCAATGGTGGCAAAATGAGTCTCTTAGGAAAAAAAAAAAATTGGGAAATTTTTCTTATTTTTTTTTGTGGCCTGATTTTTTATGTTTCCTTCTTGAGAATCATTAGCATCCAAGGATGAATAGCTTATGCCAGGTAACATTGGGGGTCTAGACACATCCGGATACACGCAAAGTTAAGAAGGCAATGAAAAGTTTAAGGCTCTGAAGAGCCTTAAGAATCATGAAAACTTTAAGACTGCCTTTTTCTCCAGACATCCACATTCACTTTACAGTCACACTTATTAGTAGTGTAATTTGATAGAAAGAGAAGGAAGAGGGAAGAGAAAGAAAAGGCCAATAAGTACCTGAGACCTGAATCTGCTTATATATTTTAAAAAAATAAATAAAAACAGCAACCTAGATTAAACGGCGCCTTAGTAGGGATTCTGGGAATTGTAGTCCGGAACTGCCGGGTAGCCAGAGCCACTTCCGCCGGGGGTGGTGCTGTAGCCAGTGTTCTGCCTGGAATTCTGGGAAATGTAGTCCAGGAGTACAGTATATTCGGTATTTCCGCTGCGGGAGGTCAAAGCTGCCGGCTTTAAATCTCTTCTGGGAGGTGAGTAAGCGACTAGCCCTTGTTTCTACTCCAAGATTTTCTGGCCCGGCCGTGGGACACGCAGGTGTCAGCCCTCGCCCTCGGGAAAGAGATACCACGGAAGTTGGGAACTACTGTTTGCGTCCCTTGGCTTTTAGTGCTGTTTGCCTTTCCCCAAGTTGGGGGCGACCCCCTCTAGCACATCTAGTTTGAGGGTCTCCCGGGCCCTGAAGTTCCCCCGCTTTCCCCACCTTCCACGCGATATAGTACTATCGATATAGTGTTAGGTTGAGTTAGTTTCTCAAGTCTTTCCTCTGTAAAGTGGGTTTAATAGTAATACACAGGGGTGTTGTCAGATTTGCGTTAAATAGATAGATGTAAAACTGCTTAAGGCCGATCGAGGCAGATGCTAAAAGGTGGCCAGTTGTTGCCAATATGTTATTTCTTCCCCAAGAAGTGTGCATCTGGCTCGGTTCTGAGCTCTTGGTGCAGCATTTCTGGCCTGCATCCAGCCCTTCTCCGACACTTGCATCCAGAGGAGCTGTTCCTGGATTCCTAGTGGTCAACTCTCTTTTCATCTTTTTCTTTTCTTTTCTTTTAAAGGTATGAGCGTGTCATACCTCCAGCTGGTGCCTGGATTCATTTATTGATCTTATCGAGGACCAGAGACACAGTGTTGATATCTTCCAGCCTCCTTCACTTTCTAAAATAAATAAATAAATAAATGCAGCAACTAAAGCTGGCCAAAAATGGGCTGCAGGGAGGAGGAGAGAGTTAACGCCCTTGCTCCTAGTAACATAGTCCCAACCTGAGAGAACTTAGCATGCTGTGTGTCATTTCTCTTCGTTTGGAGAACAGAGTTCTGTTACTCATTAGTAAATTCTACTGGAAAAATACTCAAATATTTGTAGAATCAGGAGGTTGATGACTAATATTTTGTTAACATGCTGAGTGCCACGTACTCTTCTATAGGCCTTATGTGCATTAATTAATCTTCTTAATAGACAAAGATAACATCAGTATTCCTGTTTTACAAATAAGGACACTGATGGCAAAGAATTTATTTTCCCAAAGTCAAACAATAGGAAAGAACCTGAACTGGCACTTTGAACCCAAGCAGCCTAGGCCTTTATGCCATACTCTCCTTCAGCCCTATGTAATGGTGGTCCTTGTGATGGAGGGATGGTCATTTGGTAATAAATTAAAAAGGTAACTTAGGACTTTACATAAAAGACTTGAAGGCTATGCTCATCTAATTAATTTCTTGTTATATGACATTATGTTCATATTCTGTTTTTTTTTTTTTACCCCAAGACAGAGTTTCACTGTGTCGCCCTCGGTAGAGTGCTGTGGGGTCACAGCTCACAGCAACCTCAAACTCTTTGGCTTAAGTGATTCTCTTGCCTCAGTCTCCCAAGTAGCTGGGACTACAGGTGCCTGCCACAATGCCTGGCTGTTTTTTGGTTGTAGCTGTCGTTGTTTGGCAGGCCTGGGCCAGGCTTGAACCTGCCAGCTCTGGTGGCTGGCAATGTAACCACTGTGCT